ATGATGATGATTATGATGATGATGATTATGATGATGATGATGGGAAGGGGGAGGAAGGGGAGGAGGAGGAAGGAGGAGGAAGGAACGCGGGGCGACGTCTCTTCAAAACGAGGACCCAACACCACAGGATGGTTGGGAATAAGCTTCGGTGCGTAGTCATTACCAGGTGATGCACTTAGATTTGAAATGCCCTGGCAAGAGAGAGAGAGAGAGAGAGAGAGAGAGAGAGAGAGAGAGAAAGAGAGAGAGAGAGAGAGAGAGAGAGAAAGAGAGAGAGATAGAGAGAGAGAGAGATAGTGAGAGAAAGTGAGAGAGAGAGAGAGAGAGCGAAAGAGAGAGAGAGAGAGAGAGAGAGAAAGGGACAGAGCGAACAAAAACAAGAGAGAGAGAGAGAGGGAGAGGAGCCATAGGCAAGGTAAACTTATGATGAGAGACGGGGATATTCACATGGTTGGCCGTCCCGTCCTCCACTTTCCAGCTCTACGCTCTTACCCAGGTGCCCTCATCCTTCTTCGGGCAATCACCCCTGTCCTTCTGTCCTCCCGCATCGGCTCATAACTGGTTGTGTGTTCTCTTTCTTGCCGTTGCCCCCCTGACTCCCCGATGTGTGTAAATGTATTTCGGCCCACCTCTCTCGTAGTCGTTGGGGTGGTCTGAAACCAGGAGCCTGGTGTGGCGTGGGGGGGACCAGGCGGCCATGGGTGACTCCGAGAGGTCCCTGACGCCCTTGGGGCGGCCATTTTGGACCCAGGCTTTACCTCACACTTTGGGACGACGTTTACGGGCTCCGTTGTCGATCTTTCCTGGGGCCCTCAGACAGCGTCCAGGAGGCGGGCCGGCCGAAAAGGCAGACAAAGGCACGCTCAAAAACACGTTGTTCCGTGTTTTCGCATTGGCCCAGCATCCGTCGTCTTCTGGGGAGCGACGAGCGGCTTCTCGGAAGCCTCTCCTGGAACATGCGGATCGCAGTGCCGAGAAACTGTTTTGGGAACATCGTTGGAGTCGAGAGGAGGAGGAGGAGGAGGAGGAGGAGGAGGAGGCGGAGGAGGAGGAGGAGGAGGAGGAGGAGGAGGAGGAGGAGGTGTAGAAGGAGGAGGAGGAGGGGGAGGACCATTGTAAACCAAAGAGTCATCAACGATGTTGGAATCAACTCTCCCTCCAAGCTCCCTCTGCGTAGGCCCCTCCAAGGGTTCACGCTCACTGAGGGAATTGCCTCGTTGGCAGACAACCTTTTCAAGACTTTCGAAGCGTGTCAAAACATCATTGTTGGGACTCCAACGCCACGGACCAACCTGACTGTTGCGTCTTGACGATCCTGAATCGTGCCACAACACCTTTCTTAGGATTTCAGCACCGCGAGTCAACGTAACTGTTGCACTACTACAATCCGGAGTCTTTCCAAAATAACATTTCTGGTACGTTGTCCCTAGGAATACATAAGCTTTAAACGGACGTTTTCAACGAATGTGCGCGGCGCTGAGGCGAGAGCCACATTTTGAAAACCAACCGCCCTCAATATGTCAAACTTTCTGCACCTATTCAAAACGAACATGCGTGGTGCTAAGACAGCCTGCCTCAAGTCGTGAAGCACTTACATTTGTTTAAGACGAATGAGCACGGCGCCAAGGCGAGAGCCACATTTCGAATACGGCCCGCCCTCGATTCTTGAAGCTCTTGCAACATATTAAGCCCTTGCAATGTTTGAAGGCGAATGTGCGGGGCGCTGAGGCGAGAGCCACATTTTGGAAGCGACCCGCCCTCCATCAGTGAAGCTGTTGTCTATGTCTACGTTCCATGGTCATAAATGGTGTGGGAGTCTCAGGCGAAACGCCCGGCCCGCCCTTTCGACCGGCCTCGGGGTGCGACAGGGAGGAGTTGTTCATAAGAATTATGCTACCGAGGAACCCCACATACTTATTTCAGATCCTGCGTGGTCATATCATGTTGCACCAAGCACAGCCTCCTGGCATTGTCGTTCGCCTCTGTGGCGTCGTGGATCTGCAACGCCTGCCACACTTTGCGAGCCCGCAACGGATAGGGGGGACCAGCCCCAGCGCACCCCCTGTGGTGTCGAGAACGTGCAACGCCTGCCACAATTTGCGAGCCCGAAGCGGATATGGGGGACCACCCCCTGCGCCCCCCCTTGTGGCGTCGAGAAGGTGCAACGCCCGCCACACTTTGCGAGCCCGCGCCGCATAAGAGCACCACCCCCTGCGCACCCCTTTTGGTGTCGAGAAAATGCAACGCCTGCCACACTTTGCGAGCCCGAAACTGATGGGGGGACCCCCCCCCTGCGCACCCCTTTTGGTGTCGAGAATATGCCGTGCCTGCTGTGCCCTGGACGACCGTCACGGATAGCGGCCGCGGTGAGAGACCACCCCTTGCGCACCCCTTCTGGTGTCGAGAATATGCCATGGCTGCTGTGCTCTGGACGACCGTCACGGATAGCGGCCGCGGTGAGAGACCACCCCCTGCGCACCCCCTATGGCGTCGAGAAAAT